TTTTTTTTTTTTTTTCTTTTTCCTTTTGTGAGACAGGGTCTCCCAATGTATGTTAGGCTGGCCTTGAACTCACTATACAGTTCAGGCTGGCTTCAAACTCACGGCAATCCTCCTGCCTCAGCCTCCTTGGTGCTGTGTTTATAGGCATTGCACCTCTGCACCCAGTTCTGGAGGCCACGTCTTATGCTCAGACTCTGAGCTTTGCTTTCTCCCACTACTTCAATCCCTCTGCCTGGGCTGGCTTAACACTTCTCAGCTAAAAAAGACAAGGGGTGGAAACAGAGGACAGCAGGAGAAAACCAACCCCCTGGAAAGAAAGGCATGAGTGTGGGAAGAGAGCCAAGAGGGAGCAAAGCAGGGAAACTCCTCACTGGAGCAAGCGCGAGGAGCCGGAGCCAGCGCTGACCCTGCAGATGGCGGTGCAGGCCAGGCCTTCATCCCTGCCCTCACTCGTTTAATTGCATTTTCCGTTTAAATTATACACGAAGAGTTTGACAAACTGACCCCATGTGAAAGCACCCAGCTCAATCTTTTGTCTGCCATTTTCTCCAGGGAAAGCAAGAGTGCTGTGCTTTAGTCATACATTTGAAATTAAATTTAAAATGTGAAACATGCACATTTCCAGCTGATCATTTTTATGAACTAGATCCATTTTCAGGCCAGGGATGCAGGTCTGTGGTAAAACGAGAGCCCAGCACGTGGCAGGCTGGGTTCCATTCCCATTTCTGTGACCCGTGAACAGCGCTGCCCACACCTGGCAGGGCCGGCCCGGCACCCTGAGGTGTGGCCGGCTGTCTGCGGGGTCTCTGTCCCGGGCACCACTCAGCCCAGCAGCACAGCACTCACAGAAGAGATCAGGGGAAGATGGAGCTCGGAGACCTTCCTGGAATCTACATGTAACCCTCCCTTAATCCTTCAAGATTTCCAGCCCCTAATATTCCCTGGAAGGAGACAATGTTCCCCTCAAGAAAGCAGTCTTCCTTGGCTACTCCTCAAAACAGCAGCTGAACCTCACTGTCTGGATACAAAGCATCGTGAAGTGCACAGCAGGCACCGGAGCTGTGACCCCGAGGAGTGGGCAGGCGTCTTCCCCAGTTAATCACACTGGGCCTTAACACACTTGGGGGTGAGGCCTGTTTCGCACAGATTACCCTGAGATGGCACCGGGAACTCGGCTCGGAAGAGCTCACACTTCAAAAGCTTTGCCCCGTCACACATACACCCCGCACTGCTCATTGGGGGTGCGCAACAGCAACTTCATTTTTTAAAAGGCTGAAAATGAAAAAGGTGCTGTTGGGGTTGGGTGGGGGTTCGGTTTTGCATGGGGTCAAAAGCAACAGCATGCGCAGGGGCTGCACGAGGAAGGCGCGCTTGCAGCTTCACACATTTGGAAACGCGAGGCTCCTTCCTGGGCCTGGCTGGCTCTGCACGTGCCTTGGATCTTCCCACAGCAAGGGTGCCTCTCCTTCGGCACCTCCTCTAGGCCTCTATTCCCGGACACCCGTGACGGTTCACGGGGGATGAAAAGGAGAGACCCGGGCCAGGCAGGTGGAAGGGAGGCGCACGGTGACCACAAGTAGAAAGCGCGAGAGGCCATGGGACGGGGCAAAGCACCCAGCTGAGGTGAGATGCCGCTAGCACAAACCTCGTAAGAGAATCTTTCTCCTTCCTTCTTCTGTTCATGGAATTGCAGGCCAAAGACGACGGACAGAGACAGGACACGTTACAGACACAACACACGACACGTGCTGACATGGCTTTGTTGAGGTGGAAAATAAAGTACCGATCTATCCAAACACTAGTGCCACAAAGCGTATTTCAGAACAAACATCAAAACGGGCATGGTAAAACACAGCAAAAACCCGTACCGATCATTAGCACACATACACACACACTTGTGCGCATAGACATATACACACAGGAACAAAACCCTCTCCCTCCCGTCCACAGCTCCACTCACTAAAGCATCCCGTGGAAGATAGTGGGACTTTTGAAATATCACCACCTCTGGTTCCTCGATAAATCACAGGAGCTTACGGCACCTTCACGCTCATGGTCTCTAAGCAGGTTTCTGATAAACGTGGGGCGAAGCCCGACTCACCTCTTTCCCTCCCATGGACTCGAACATTTTTTCCAGCTGGATGCGCAACTGTTGGATGTTATTCATCAAGATGCAGGGCTTTGAACACAAGACAGGAGAGCAGTGTGAGTGTCCCTTATGTATGGCAGCACTGAGAAGGGACGGCGTAACTTAAAAGTGACAGCAGACGCCTATCGCTCTTGTCTGCTTGGCAAACATAACAATTCTGCCACCTGACATGCTGCTTTCTAACAGCTAAGAACAGAAAAGAAAAATGGAATGGCCATTTCGGGGGGACAAAGCCGAGGGCCATCTTCACACAGTGAACCACTGGGGACTGCTAGCGAGGTGCCTTCTATCCATAACACTGTGACATTTCGTGCTTAGAATCAACTGATAATAAATCAATCAGTTTTAAAATTTTATTCTCAGCAAACAGATTAGTTTAAATTGTTTTGTAATTCCACCGTTTTACAACCAAAACACAGCTGCATTTCCCATCTGTGAGAATGTTTAAATCTGACAACCATGCCCTAGGTGGCCGTCCTGCTGCCCGCACAGCCTCACGCGGGCACCCGGTCCCTCGCGTTTTTCTTTTCGCCTGTTTGAGTCACATCTATCGCTTGGGGCAGGCGTTCCTTCCTCGGCCTCGTCTTTGTCACCATGCACTTGGGGTCTGTTTTTATCACTTCACATTGAGCCAGGGGAACTGTGTCCAGCGAGTCACCAGCCCCTGGTAAATGTGGCGCCCTAGCTGCTGGGTCCTCCTGCCTCACAGAGCCCGGACACCTCCCACAGGCCTCACAAGCACTTCTTGCCTTGTTTCCAAAGAGGCAGAAGTACAACAATGAAAAGATGTGGAACTCTGAGGCCGGAGCAGATAGGCGCGCAGAAAAGTAGAGATTAATTTCTGACTAGAAAATAGAATTTGCGGTTGTCGTAGATTCACTGAATTGCCCTTTGATTCCAAAGAGCCATGGTCTGGGAGGGGGACGCGTGACGGGAAGGAGGATGGAGACAACTTCTGGACGTCAGCCCCACCTGCGAGAGTCCACGACTGCTCCAGCCACGCGGCGGGGCCTTGAAGTCTCCTACTGGACCTGACAGTGGTCACTCTCCACCTCTGACTTGTGAAAGTCATTCTGAAAGTCCGTCCCACCCTTCCGGGGCTCCTCGGCCAGGCTCCCCCTTCCACGGCAGGAATGGACATTTCCAAACCACTAGGGGATCTGGTGTCTTGGCCCCACGGCCACAAACCAAGCCAACAGACTACTTCTCCACTAGAAACTTCTATTCCATTCACAGTCTCTGCTTTTCTTCTTAGAAGGGGATGATTTGGCTTGACTTGGGCAATCCTACAGAGAGGAACCCCACATCTCGTGGGGTCATTACCATGAGGAGCGGCCGAGGGTGTGTGGGCAAAGGTCTCCTGCCTGGCGCCCGGGACCTGCGCAGCATGGCTCTTCTGCACTGACTTGGTGTTAGCATTCAAAGCCTCCGCACATCTAACTGCACTCTAGGACCAGCTATATAGACACAGGACAATGTGCAGACCATCGAGGGTTCTCAACAAAACCATTTCCGCAAAGAGCAACTGGGAACCAAGGGCACAGACACTGAGCTCTGGGCATGGACAGCTACTCGCCTCAGGGATGGCCACAGAGAAAGGAGGTGCAGCCGGGGAGAGGGGAGGGCATGGAGAGCTCTGCTCCCTTAGCTGGCTTCCTGACCTTGAAATGCTCAAAGTTCACTTCTATTAAATCAGTTTCTCAAATCACTAATGACAACTAGATTACACAAATCTACCTTAAATCTCATCATGAAATAGCTTTACTTAACAACTCCAGAGTAAAAGAAAAAGAAGAAAGAAATTCAGAGTCAAGGGAGCATTAACCTAAGCCAAAGGCACCACTGCTGGAGCAGTCTGGGGAGATGCAACAGCCTCGGTCTGAGGTAAGGTACACCTTTCCGTGTGGACATTCTGACTTAGCTCATAATATCTCAGTACGTTTCATTTGACTTTGTTCTAGAACAGCTGGGGGCCAGAAATACAAGGAAACGTTTTGTTTAAACTAGGATCATTTCTTCAAGAGGGAGTGTTTTTAGGGTTAAAAAATTACAAAACAATATTGCTCAAAGCAATTCTGAATTAGATAATGATGACTTGATATCTTTTGGCATGTTGGGATAAGGACAAAAACATTTTGTTCAATTTCCAATTTGAAACGCCACAGTGGAAAAAGTATTCTGAAGCAGACATTTCGCTGCATTGCGGTCTTTACTTCTGATCTCTGACAAATCAAATGTTGCAGTTTACATTAAACAGTGTCTAACTGTAAGAGTTTCCAGCTCTTTTGCAGATGAGGTGAATCCATAGTCCTACACATGCATATGACATGCACAATAAATTTCAGTGGTGTTGACACTGAAATAAACTGGTGATGGTAGCCACGCACAGGTGCAAACATACAGAAGCACCCTTCCGAGTGTCTCAACAGAAAACACACAGCAGCAAGCTGGTTCCTTCAGATAAGCCAAGGTGACCCCTGGGCTTAAGCACTGGAGAGTCAGGCTGGTCGGGACACCAGTTGTTGAGGGGAAGGCTCAAGAAAAGCTCTTGTGCTATACACCATAAAGGACTGTATACAATTGATTCCGAAAACTATGAAATACACAGAACAACAAAGGCTAATACAACAGACTCTGGTGCATAATTACCTTTGGATTTTAATACACAATGTAATGTAGAATGTTAACCATGGGCACAACTCTGCAGAGGCTTTTGGCGTTAATTTTCCTTTCTGAGCCACAGGCATGGCCTTGGCACCTCCAGCTGTCTTTCAGACCTGTGCTGTCCTAACACAGACAGAGCCTTTTCCGACGCTGCAAGGCACTGCCTTGGCTTTCGTACATCGCGTTAGACATGTATCATCCTTTACCCTTTAGTTAGAGAGATGTGTTTCCAATGCATAACTATGCGGTCTCACTCTTTGAGTATTTAGAGCCAATGGCAATTAGAAATCACTTCTGCTAGCTGGGACCTGAAATAAGATCCCGGCAGCATAATATTTTTAGGGAAAGGGAAAGAACAGACTGTCAGCCTGAGGGCAAGAGGCTTTCAGCAAGACCAGGAGGAGCTTACTTAGATTTCTCTTCCACACTTGCCTGACAGTGAGGATGGATTTTTTTAAATGTAAAAGACTCATGTTTTCCCCTTAGCTCCCTATGTTTCGCCTGTACTCACTATTCAACTCACTTTGTCTTATGCTCTTTTTAAAAAATTCTTACCATGTTACCACATATTTCTCCTGATACCACCAAGAGTAAATAAGAAAGCTGCACCTCCATCATAAAAATAACTGATTCTATCCCAAGAATAGTTCCATTCTATGGACAATCTGCACCATCACAAATCCCTTTATCACCTAACTTGTTCATCTCGCTTCTCTTTATTCCTTTATGGAGTGAGATGCAATACTGGTTTGGAATTTATAAATACTTCCCCAGTCTTATAAAAGTGTTATATTAGTAATTCTCAGTAGGAATCAGTGTCGTTCTACATATGAGCCACCCTTCTCGATTTATTTGAAAGCCGAAAGACTAAAGCACACTTGTATTAGAGTTGGTATCAAGGTGGAGCCAGCTGGCATCAGCCCCAGTGCTTTTGGATCTGTGGATTCTCATCTCATTCCATATCAAAATGTGAAGTCATAAATCTGGCATGAAATGCTCTCAGCCTCCCTGAGAATCCTGCGCAGGAACGAGTTCAAGATCACTAAGAAACACATCTTACAATTCAAACAAAGTCTTGCAATTCCTATTTCTGATCTTTTATGAAAACAGAAACAAACGACTTCTCTTGCTCACCCCGAGTTGGAAGGAGTAAATCTCAACTGAGGAATAATTGAGGAAGTTGAGGCGTTCTACTTACCACGTTTTCCTTATCACAATATGAGCTGAAATCGCTTGACACAATTGCAGCGTACTGGACCAGCACTTTATTGATGGTCTGAGGAAGAGAAGGTCAGGAAGTTTAGTGGGTGATGAACAGCCTTACACGTACGCCATCCCAGCTCAGGCTAAGGCAGTGGGTGAAACTGGTCCAGTCTAACCTTTGCTGACAGACACTTACACTATGGTATTTAAGTGACTGATTGTCGTAGTTCTGAGTACTGTTGGAAGATATTATACACGGGTGTGTTCTATTTCAGCACAATCAACACCATCACGAAATCCTTTCTTTTCTAGCTTTCCTGAGAAGTTGTACTGGCCATTTGGAGACTCCTCCACGAGTGGGGTCTGTAATACCTAACCACCTAGAGCTTTTCGTCCCCCTTTCTGAAGAGATGCTTTATGCTTTGCATCATATCTTACGGCTTTTAGCTCCTAACTCTGTATCCCCCCACACACACTTACCAAGACAAAACTTTATGTGTTGGCTATTTGTTCAACTTTCTCCAGTATTCTTAAACACCACAAATATATGTGGGGATCCGAGAGCATTTCTGAACATATCACTTAGCTATGGCTATTTTCAGTGATAACAAATTGTAGGCAGATAAAAAAATCACCTCTGAAAAACCTAAAACTGCAGCTTTTGTTATATTGCATGATCATTTACAGTTTGCATAAAAAATGTTCCCCCAGAGGCTCATGATTCCAGAGGTGGGGTTTTGGAAAGCGATCAGACACAGGACATCAGCCTGATGGATGGGCCAACCACTGATACGTGCCCAACTCCCTGTGCTGCTAGAGTGGGGCCTTGTTGGAGGAGATGGATCCCTGGGGTGTGGCCTGGAAGGGCATATCCTGCCCCCACCTCTTCCCCTCTCTCTCGGGGTCTTCTGCTTCCTGCTGCACAGGGCTGAATGGCCTTCCTCCTCCAGGCCTTCTCTGAAACCACTTCAGCCTTGGAGCTGGCCGACCATGGACTGAAACCTCGGAAACCGAGAGCCAAATATACCTTTCTTCCTGGAAGTTGTGGGTGTCGGATGGTGACAGGAAGGCGGCCAATGGACTATCTCCACACCACAATCCATTTACCTCCTCTTCACTATATTACTCAATAGCGTATAACTTGCTAAACATTGTGCTCAATCACCCCCCCTTGTTATCTTTTCATTGTAACTCTACACTTTCTTTCTCTGATAACTAATTCTGAGCCTTATGCTCTCTGAAAGCTTCCAGTAAATATGCAAAATAGAGAAAAATGAATCAACTATGCTAAGTATATTTTATTTCACTCATTTAATGATATATTGGTGAGTTTGCATCTGCTGCAGTTACACATGGCTTGAAGTAGCATAAGCCCAATGTGCATGTGATTTTCTTGGAAAAGATGAAGTGACCTCAGTAGCAGACATACGTCATCTCTTACAGAGGAGCAAAGACATGAAAGCTTTAATTTCCTTTTTTGTATATTTGTCTGAATCTTTTTAGTGGTTCAAAATCAGCAGGGAGAGACAGTCCAAAGTGTTAAACTAAAGGAGAAATGTTCAGTCTACGGGCCTGGGCCACCAAATGGACTGTGAACGCGCAAGGACTTGCACAGCGGAGACCTGGAAGCAGGGACAACACACAGACAGAAGACTGGCACTCAGCGTGGATACACAGTGCTGTGACAATCGGCATGGACTTCATAGAGAGTCGGCCTTGAGAAAGACAAGATCTTATCGGAGCCATGCAGCTGGGAAAACAGCTGGCTAATCAGGCTGAAGCGCTTTTCAGGGCTGCACCAACCTGGGATTCATTCTCCTGAGGGGTCCTCACGCCTGGTACCTGGGAGCACCATGCTCGATTCAGATGGCAGCATCCCCTGCAGGGCTCATCTCGCTGTAGGGTAAAAGCTAAAACAAGCGCAGTCCCGGCCTCCAGCTGAGGAGCTCTTGTAACTCAGGCATTACGGTTTGCTAGGATTCCCCCAAACTCTGTGTCCCTTAAACACCTTCCAGGCGGCGAGTGGAAGAGCCTGCTTTTCGCTTTTATCTGTTTTCCTGGAGGGCAAAGTGGGCCTGGACCCCCATCGGGGATCACTGGGATGATCCCAGGTGCTTCACAGGGAGTCCCTCGTCCTTTGGATTTCCGCCTGGAGGCCCCAAAGTTGGGGCTGTGAAGGTGACAGCTACCTTCCTGGCACTGTGGTGGGGCACAGCCTGTGCCTGGGTGGTCAGGACTGGCTCTTGCCAGCTGGGTTTTGAGTGAGTGAGGGGTCAGTGGCGCCTGGAACATCTCACCTGGGAACAGGGGGTGCAAACGCTCCAACCCCACCCCAGATCTGTGGGCCCTCAGCTGTGGGCCGGCCCTGCAGTTCCAGGTGGTTCTGAGGCACATCCAAGCTGTTCCCTCCAATGCCTTCAGGGTGCAGTGGCTGTTGTGAGGGCTGCTGTTGCCCAGAGGGGCCTCAGCAAGGCTGGAGGACAGGGCACTGGGGGTGAGGGCTGAGGTTCCGAGTGGACCTTTGGGGGAGCGCTGGGCTGTGGCAGCGAGTGGTGATGGAGACCAGGATGGGCAGCACGGACACCAGAGCCCAGCCAGACACAGGGAGGGGCACAGGGCTCCCCATGGGGCAGCCGAGAGCAGCTCAGGGTCAGAAGGGATGAGATCCTAGTCAGACTGTGCTGGTGAAGGAGCCATTTGGGTAAGGGGAGGACACACCTGCGCCTCCGCCACCTGTGAACTGAAGTAGCCACTGTGGGGCATAAAGGAGCCGTCAGTGGCATCCCCAGCTAAGGCCACCAGGCATAGTGGGACACAGGTCCTGCTGGCACCCTTCTGTGTATTATCCCGGTCTTAAGGTCAGCAGGGTTCGAATGGGCTCAGAATCCAGCTTCTGCTCACTCCCTGCAAAGGGAAGGAGGAAGATGGGCCGTGCTGTCAGCACAGGGAGTGTGGCTGGGGCTCAGGAGCTGCAGCTCAGGGGAGTGAGCGCTTCCTCTCCCTGATACCCAGGGGCTTAGGACGGTTATCGGTCACCTGGGACTGTGTCTCAGGACCCTGCTCTGGGCTCCTCTGGGTGGGAGGGGCTGTGCTGGCTGAAGCAACGCCTTTGCCTTTCAGGTTGGGTGCTCTGTTTCAGTCCTCAGGAACTCTGAGCCTGAGTCATCAGCTGACAAAGAGGGCCCAGTCCAAGGGGCTGTTGTGGTGCAGAAGCAGAAGCTTATTACGTTCCCAAGCTCCTGAATTCTCACGCAAGTTAGGATGTGCTCATGGGAAACAGACAGGACACTCCCAGCCTGCAGCCAGCCTCACAGTGGACTCTTTCTCTGAAGCAGCCGCCCTCTGGGAGCTGGGGCACAGGGATGCTCACTGCCAGCAGCCAGCACACCCTCCACGTGGGCCACACCCAGCACTGTGCCTGGTGCCTCTCAGGAGGCTGAGCACAAGCCTAAAGTCCCTGTTTCCCCCGCTGTCCCCAGGGTTCACCTCAGCTCTGCAGGCCTGGCTGACGGCTCCTCCTGGGGGGTGGCTGGCATCACGCACAGAAAGAGGAGTGTTTAGTGTTTCCATATGGGGGTTCCTGGCCTCGGTAGGGCAGTGTACTGCAGACTAAGGGTCACTTCTGCCAAAATTTTAAAAGGTACCAAAACCCTACTAATAGCAGCGATTGCAAAGCAGCACACTGTGTTAATCACACAGTTTAATCTGATTTTTATGGAAAATATCTGTTATAGAGTTATAGATAAAATGGATTTGTATGTTTACTTATTTCTACTTTATGTATTTGATTTTACTTTTTTATTTTATGAGACACTGAGAGAGTCAAAAGAGCACTGACATAATTTCCTAAGTCTCCTACCAACTTTTCTTTTCTTTCTTTGCTTTTTTGTGGGGAGCAGCACTGGGTATTGGACCCAGGGCCTTCATTCCGAGGTGTGTTTCCTGCCCTCTTTTTGTAATCATTAAATTTTAAGACAGGGCCATGGCCTCATTAAATTGCTCAGTGTCCCAGGCTGTGCTGGAACTTGTAGTCCTCCTGCGTCAGCCTCAGAGTGCTGGACTCACAGGTGTGCCCCACCGAACCCCGTTTAGAATTTCCTTTTCAATGCAAATCACTAGTTTCTACCTTCTCAGAAAATGTCTTTCATCATTGTTCCGCGATAATAATTGGGTATTACTGAACTCCATGGATTAAAGCTTTTATCACTGTGCTAACAGAAGCACACACCTCTTCAGGGACGGGCACGCGGGCCCCCAGTCTCCTCTCTGGCATCAGTGAATGCACAGCTCTGGTGACTGTACAGTGCCCTTCACTCCAGTCCTGTCGCACTGCAGGACTCCCAGCACGGGGCTTGGCAGCTGCGGGTCAGAGCTCAGCATTCCCACCCCAACGGCACCTGTCACTTAGGGGCTGCCCATCCCTCTCACCGGATCCCTCTTCTATTCCTGACACCCTGCACAGCTACAGTAGTGCATTACTAAATGTATTAACTCAGAGCCCTTGAACACTTGCTTCTGTGACCCTGCTTCCGGGAACAGCTTGCCACATTCTTTCTCCAACATGACATCTCTAGTGACCTTGTTTCATTCCTTTTTTTTGGCATTTACTCAACATTTAGGTGCTAGTGAAGAAAAGACTTAGGGAACCATGAGGTTAATTTTCTTGCAGATCTGGCCATATTGTGAAACTGTCAGCCCCTACTACCAGAAAAGTGTGTTTCAGGAATGGCCCAAAGAAATAATTCTTAGCTGTTATCTCAAAAGGTGGGAAGTGACTTGTCTTGGTTACTTTTCTTGTTGCCAAGACAAAATATCTTACACCCAAAGTCAAAGGACGAAAGGTTTGTTTCAGCTCATGGGTTTTAGAGGTTTCAGTCCGCAGTTGGCTGGCTCTAAGGCAGAGTGGCAGGGCAGAGGAGAAACAGGCCATGGCAGGGTAGGCAGGAGGCAGCCAGCATCAGCAGCAGCATCAGCCTGGCTTCTTTCTGTCCTTTTATATTCCATCCAGGCTGTAAGTCCACTAACCAGTGCCACCCACACCCTGAGTGGGGCTTCCATTTACCACATTCTTAATACCAGTATCACACCCTTAGTCCACATTCATACACCCTAGTCAGCCATCTTCCAAAAGCCCTGCCCAGGCCCACATGAGCCCTTGGGGGGACATCTAGACACAAGCCACACTACTGCACTCTTCCTAAGTAATAGAGAAGGACGTGAAGTCCACATACTTGATGGAGAACAACGCTTGCAGTGGCATCCAGGTGAAGATGTCACCTAAAACCCTACATGGCTCCCTATTTCCTGCAGAGGCAGTTGAGCCCCTCTGCCTGATCTTCAGGGCCCTTTCCAGGGGTTTGACTTCCCCCTTCAGCCTGGGACCTTTCAGGAACCCCACACTCCCCACATCAGGAAGCCACCCTGTGGCTTAAGGGAGGGCGGTGAGCTGCCTGTGTATCAGAAGGTATCTGATGTATGACCTGGAAGTAGATCTTTGGGGCATTAAACTATGGAGCGTTTGTGTTGAGTCACCTCAGCACGGACCACCCTGCCACAGCGCGTAGCCATTTCTCTCTCCAGATGCCTCCCTCAGTGCCTGTGAGAACGGCTACGCTTCTCTAAGAGACAGGGCCAGCGGGAGGTCAGACTGTGCCTTGCATGTGTGAGAGCCTGAGCCACAGACTCTGTGGTCATGAAGAACACACTCATGCTCACTTGGGCTGTGGTCACGAGCAGCAGCACACTCAGTGCACAGATCTGCACGAGCACCCCGTTTCCCTCAATGCCCCATGGGGGAGCCCTCGTCCCAGCCCCACAGCGTCACTCTGAGAAAGGGAGGCCGCAAAGAGGCACCTAAGTTAGAAGGCTCCTACCCAGAGTGCACTGGTGCTCTGAGAGGAGATCTGCTCTCAGTCCCCAAGGCAGCAGTACACAGACCCGATGTGAGGACGCAGCTGGAGGTGCCAGCTGCGGACCAGGGAGGACCAGTCTGCGGAGGCCTTGGTTTGGGCTCCTGCCCTGTGGGCTGTAAGAAAATGCTGCTGCACTCGGCACGTGGGCCTCTGTCCCAGCTTTGCCCTCCTGAGCCCTCTGAGGCACAGGCGGGCATGGCGGGGACCCTGGCTCACAGCACAGTGGCCCTCGTGGCCTCCTAGGGAGGACACACACCCACCACCGTCACCTGAAGGCTCACACCCGCACTCGTGTCGGGAAATACGGAAATGAGCGGCAGGCCCGCTTGACCACTGTGTTTCCTGCACCCAACCTGGCCAGAGCGCCCGAAGGCTCAGAGCTCCCCAAGGCCCGGGAGCTGGAGTGTACCATCTGCACTCTCCGCTGCGCTCCCCCAGGGCCCACCAGCTCCACTGTTCACAGCCTGCATCTGCCCTCGGCAGGTCCCTCCACAGCTGAGCTAGGCTGTCGCTCCGCCACCTTCCACCTCGTTATCGTACATGATCTGTGGGTGAGATCTGATGGGAGACACTACGCCTCTAATGCTTCGTATGCCCCCTCCCCAAACTCCTAGCAATGCTGGGAGCCGGTGTGAGGTGCTTTCCATGTCAAGGAGCAAAGAGGCCTTCAGAGAAATCTGGCTGATCAAAGTCAGTAACCAAATTCACAAAAACTGATCACACTGTTGAGGCCCGAGGGACTGTGACTGGCTTTGGAGCAGAACCCAGTTCTCAGGCCTCCCACGTTTCATGCTACTGCAGTGTCTGCTAACGAGTACCTGTCACTGTGTATAAGAAATGGCAAGGCTCAGCTGCAAGGCACGGGCCTGAAATGGAAGATCTGCCATCCACAGCAGCCTCTGCATTCAGGAAGGACCCCGCCAGCACTGTGACACTCGTGGGTGTTGGCACGGTAAATCTACACCAAAGCCATGGGAAGTGTACCCAGTTGCACACGATCTGGTGATGTATGTGGAGACAAAGGAAATCATTCCTGCAGACTGCAGGGGGCTGGGTCAGGGTCCCACCAAACTCTAGGAAAGAGTCCTACCCCTTAACCCACCTTTGCAAATCTTCTCATCAAGTGAGACAGCGCTTCGGGGTTAGGGCACTCCAGCTTCTTAATAATCTCAAAGCTCTGGTTCAGCTGAGCAAAGACGTCGACCACAGAGCAGGAGAAGAGTGCGTGGTCAGATGTCTGCTGGAACTGTGGAGGGAGGCAGAGCCAGCAGGACAGTCACATGGGGTGCAGGAAGCATCTCCAGTGTGTCACACACAGCCCAACTCCCCTCACAATCACACGCCCGCATGCCCCCAGGAAAGGCTCGCTCAATTCCAAGGGCCACAGCCTTTTCTGGAAGTCACAGTGGAACTGAGGTCACACACAAGCATTGCTAACTGGGCAGCCACTGCTGGTCTGCAGGACGTCTTTCCTCGCCTTCCTCCTAGGCCCAGGGAGAGTGCAGACTCCAAGCTGCTGGGGTCCCGCACAGCCTCCGGGACAACAGAGGTTTGTAGGGGATCGGGGAGACTCAAGCCTCAGGTTGATTGAAGGACTAAATCCACTCCGGGCAAAGTGGTGATCGGGGTTTTTTGTTTGTTTGTTTGTTTTTGTGTTTCGTTTTGGTACCGGGGATCGAACTCGGGCCCTTGTGCTTGTGAGGCAGGCACCAGAACCACTGAGCTAAATCCCCGGCCCCTTTTTGTTTTTAATTTAAGCAATTTCCTAAGGTTGTGAGCCCCAGAAATTGTGCTATTTATTTTGGTTGTTGGGAATTAATAACAATGAGCCTAACAAATTCCCATTAGCTGAAAGGTGAACCATGTGACAGCCAGGGTGACTCACAATTTGTTTTTTGTACCAGAGATTGAACTCAGGTCCTTGAGCCTGCAAGGCAGGTGGCAGAACCGCTGAGCTAAATCCCCAGCCTGAGACTCGAAATCTTAAAGGGGCCACACTCACCCCATCCTTCTTGTCCCTTCCCAGTGCTCCGTGGAGGAGCTCCATGGATACATCTTCATTCTCCTCTAGCCACTGCATAGCAAAAGGTTCGAACCACCTAGAAAGAATTAATGGTGTTACTTCCACAAAGGCGAGTGAGGACCAAGCACCATTCATTCTCCACTCCCGGTTTCGTTTCCTCGGAGATCTGGCCACGTCTCTCTCTCCACTCTTCCAGAGCAGCTCAGATGTGCGCCGGGGTTCCCATAGCTGCCCTGCAGTTCCCTTTCCCTCCTGGACTCCTGGGGAGCATGGACCTGGTACCTGTGTCCTCATCCTGCACCCTCATTAAGCCTTTACTGCTGAGTGCCTGCATAGCCACCCTCCTGCACTGAGCTGCATCCCTCTCCCCTCAGCCATGATCAGGCATCTGTCCTAGGCAGCTTAGTGAATGGGCCGGGAAACACTCCACAGTTCTTTTGCCTCATGGACGCACAGGCGACCCAGTGCCGTTTACTGCCGAGATCACCCGCTACCCCGCAGCAGTGCGTGGTGTCTGCGTGTGAGGCAGGATTCCTGTGTGCCACTGTCCCTCTGAGCAGATTTTCCCCTCCTTTTCCTCCGTCCTTCACTAGCACCACACTCTCTCCACTCTTCTCTAAGTCTTAGCAATCCATGCCACTATTTGCTGGCTTTCTATTTCCTCTTCAAGATCTTCTTAGACCTGTGCATTTCACATGCACCTTTCATGAGTTTGCCAATTTGCATAAAAATAACTGCTAGAATTCTTACAAGATTATATGCTTGCTTTAATTTTAGAAAGCTAGCAATCGCTCCAGCATCACGGAGGCCTGCCTAGTCACGCCGTCCCTGCTGTTGCTGCCGCCGCCATCGCTCTAGCACCAGGAAGGCCTGCTTAGCTGCGCCTTCCCTGCTGGTGCCACCGTCATTGGTCCAGCACCAGGAAGGTAGCTGTGCGGGTGTCCCTGAACCCTCCCAACCCTCCCCCACCCCTGCACTCTCAGACCTCCTGATTGTGCCAGTCTTTGGATCCACTCTGCTGAGGCAGAGGTGGTCATAAAGGGTATTTTTCTGAGCCCCCAACTTTGAACATCTTTAAAGAAGGGGGAGGGGAAACCTGTAGCAGAACTGTGTGGAGTACAACCCTTCAAGAGGTCGGGGAACTCAGTCTGGGCCTTGCAGCCTGAGGTCAGTCTGAGTCGCAGGGATCTGCCATCAGCTAGCTGAGATCAGGGGACTTGGTTCTGCACATGGCAGCATATGTTGTATATTATGACAGCAGAGATATAGTCTGAAAGATGCCCTTCAAATTATTTTTCTTTTCCTCATTCCACTCTGCAAATTCTTTCTTTTTTCTGTCCTTTCTCCAATTCAGTCTCTTGCTCCACCATATTATCCCTCATCTCCCTTTCTGTTTCTGCTCCTGCCCTAACTCAGACTTCTTCTTTTATCATTTTTTATCTTTTCTTTTGTCATTTTACTTCATTCAAGGGTCAGTAGTTTCAAGGGAAAGTGAGTCCCTATTTCTGTTAAGGGGATATATTCTTGTCCTTATACTTCTACTCTGTCTATTTCTTTTGAGTTTAACAGTTTCCTAAAGATTGTGTGGTCATTCTATGTCCTTTGGCTTCACTTGAAACCTTCTCCAAGTCTTTTACTTATTTACTCCTTTTGTCCTAACTCTAAATCCACATCCTAAATGGTAAATATCCTATATTGAAAAGTTTATTCACTGCAAGCATATTTTGGACTGCTGCTTGATTTTAATTTAATTTACATGGTTTAAAGGTGATAGACTAGTGACTACAACAAGTGGTCAATTTGCAAGTTGTGCTTGATCATATTGTGGTGCTGGTTGTATCAATTGGGATAAAGGATTTTGATTGATTCAATGAGCTGTTTTCTCTGACATTATGAAAATGAGAATGTCTATGAGTTATTAGAGACTCAAAAGCTAAAGCACAACTATATCAGGAAGATTTGCATAATAACCCAGAAATTAAATCAAGGACAACCTAACAACAAAAATAAAAATGAGAAAACACTTAAGCAAGACACAAAGACAGACTTCCAGTTCACCAATGGCAAACAGCAGGGCAAATGAGGATGAAAAGTCTGACAGTGAACCAACAGGACACCCTGAGCTCAAAGAATAGGAAGTAACAAAACAGATCAATCAGGCTCTACAAAAATTCAAAACAGAAATAATTTCCCAGATAACCATAGAGATGGTGAGCAAAATTAAAGTCATGATTCAAGACTCTAGAACAGAAACTGATAAAAAAATAGATGATCTCAGGACCATGATAGAAGCCATGAAGGCCCAGCATAAGAAAGAAATGGAAACAATGAATACCCAACACAGGAAAGAAATGGAATCCATAAAACAGATTCAAACAGATATCTAGATTAAAAATTCCATTGAAAGTGCTCACAAAAGAATAAAAGAATGTGAAGATAGAGTTTCAGATATAGAAGTTAAGGTTGCAGTCAGTGACAATGAAAAGAGAGGTCTCTTAAAAATAGTAGAAGATCATGAGAAATTGATCCGACAACTCCCAGATGATGCAAAAAAGAATAACATAAGGCTGATAGGAATCCATGAAGTAGCAGGAGAAAATGCAAATGAGTTTAAAAAGCTGTTCACAGAATTAATGAAAGAAAACTTCCCAAACAGAGGGGAAGAATTTGACATACAGATAAGTGAGGCATATAGGACTCCAACTAGCCACAATAAAAAAAAAAAAAATCTACACCTAGACATATAATAATCAAGATTCCAGAAACCCAACAGAAGAACAAAATACTACAAGCAGTAAGAGAAAAGAAACAAATCACATGCAATGGAAAGCCCATCAGAATCACAGGAGACTTTTCAACATAAACCCCTGGGTCAAGGAAAGCCTGGAGTGAGGTATTTCAAGTCCTAAAAGAAAACAACCTCCGACCTAGACTGATGTATCTTGCAGGACTCTCTTTCAAAATGGATGGGGAAATAACATACTTCCATGACAAAGAACACCTGAGAAATTTCATGAATACCAAACCAACACTACAAGGAATCCTAAACAATATCCTAGAAAAAGACAATAAAGGTAACAATACAATGAGACTCAACAGCACAAATCAAATAGGCAAGGCAAGAAACTAAAAGGAGAAGGTGAAAAAGTAAAAAGAGTCAATAAAAGGTCAATAACATGACAATAATAAGTCAGTACATATCAGTCATAACCATCAACGTCAATGGCCTCAACTCAACAATCAAGAGAAATAGACCAGCAGAATGGATTAAGAAGCAAAATCCAACAATCTTGTATACAAGAAACACACCTAGGGCAAAAAGAAGCCCATAGACTGAAAGTGAAAGGATGGAAAACAATTCTCCATGCAACAGGAGCCCAGAAAAAAAGCAGGGGTAGCAATCTTATTTGCAGACAAAGTACATTTCAAACCAAAACTGATTAAAAGAGACAAAGAAGGTCACTACATTCTTGTAAAGGGAACAATTCAAGAGGAAGAGGTGACAACCATAAACATATATGCACCAAATATTAATGCCCCTAACTATATAAAAGAAATGTTAAGAAACATGAAAAACCAAATAAGCACTAATGAAATTGTAGTGGGGGATCTAAATGCCTCACTTTCACAAATAGATCATCCAGGCAAAAAGTCAACAACAAAATACTAGAATTGAGCCAAGCTTTTGAAAGCATGGACTTAATAGATGTTTATAGAGTGTTCCACCCCACAAAATCAGAATATACATTCTTTTTGGCTGCACATGGGTCATTCTCCAAGATAGATCACATATTAGCTCACAGAACAGGTTTGAATAAATGCAAAAGAATCAAAGTTATTCCCTGTATATTATCAGATCATAGTGCAAGCAAGATGGAGATCAATAGCACAAGAAACTGTAGGAACTTCATAAACACATGGAAATTGAATAATACTCTCCTGAGCAATCAATGGATCACAGAGGAAATTAAAGAAGAAATCAGACAGTTTTTACAAATAAATGAAAATGCCAATACAACATACAGGAATCTATGGGACACAATGAAAGCAGATCTACATGGAAAATCCATAACATTGAATGCCCACACTAGGAAAACAGAGGGTGTTCAAATAAACAACGTAATGATGAATCTTAGACTCCTAGAAAAACAAGAGCAAGAAAAACCCAAAGCTCGAACAAGAAAGGAAATTATAAAGATTAGAGCAGAAATCAATGCAATGGAAACTAAGAAAACCATACAAAATATAATGAATTGAAGAGTTGGTTTTTTTGAAAGAATAAATAATATTGATTAAACCCTTAGCTAATCTTATTAAAAATAAAAGGAAAGAAAAGGCTCAGATCTATGCAATTAGGAATGAAAAAGGTGAAGTCACAACAGATCCCACAGAAATCTAGAGGATCATCAATACCTACTTTGAGGACCTGTACTCTTAAAAAAATGGAAAACATAGAAGAAATGGACAGATTTCTAGATACTTATGAATTATCAAAATTGAACAAAGAAGATAAAAACATTTTAAACACCCCAATTACAATCAGTGAAATTGAAAATGTAATTAAAAATTTACCAACAAAGAAAAGCCCAGGTCCTGATGGATTCAATGCTGAATTTTACAAGACATTTAGAGAAGGACTACTGCCATTACTCTTCAAACTTTTCAATGAAATTGAAAGGGAAGCAATACTTCCAAATTCATTCCTGGAAGCAAGTATCACTTTGATTCCAAAACCAGGGAAAAATGCAACTAAAAAAGACAACTACAGGCCAATCTCCTTAATGAATATAGATGCAAAAATCCTTAATAAGATACTAGCAAACAGAATACAGAGGATTGTCAAGAAGATCATACATCCTGACCAAGTTGGATTTATTCCAGGGATGCAAGGATGGTTCAACATGCAAGTCAAAATGTAATACACTATATTAACAGAGTCAAGAACAAAAACCACATGATCCCCTCGATAGATGCAGAAAAAGCATTTGACAAAATTCAACACCCATTCATGATAAAAACCCTGCAAAAAATTGGAATAGATGGTCTATATCTCAACTTAATAAAGGCTATGTATGA